ATTGTTTAAAAATCATTAACTTGATACTTGATATATTTCTTATGATCATTTTACATTTGAAGATCACTTCCAGTTGACTTAAACGGTGGCCTGAGAGATTCATGATTATTATTAGCTGGCCCATAATTGTGGGTTGACTGTAAAATTGATGTGTAAAGGATCAAAACATTGTAAATAATGAAGATCAATGGTTTATTTAATAACATTCGAGCCAATTTGTTGAATATACTTTCATCGTTATCATTTTTTTTCCTTTGAAGCTATGCTATTGAAGATAATTTACCAACACATATCATGGCAAATTTTCACATGGTCACAATCGGCTCTTTTCATGCACCATCAATGTAGAGTGCGCAAGCCGATTTTGAGAGAAAATGTCATCCAATCCATTTGTTTACATCATAATGACGATTTTCAAACTCAAAATAATGTAGGGGAAATGCAGGTAATGTCGGCCTAAGTGTCTCTAATATGGGCATACATAAATTCAGCAATCGACTAAATTTTCAATAGCAACCAAAAATATCCATTAGTAACGTCCCAATAACGCGTTCATCTAAATAAAATTGATAAATAGTAGATTTTTAGCGATAAACGCTGTACAGACTGGAGAGTTATAACATGTTGTAACGTTTGTCAAATAATTGCAACATAGAAACCACCATCAAGATAACATGTTATAACTCTGTAGTCTGAACGTACTAATAGGCCCAATCTTATAGTACGTTCAGACTACACACCGTTCGAAAAATTCATGTCAATTTCTGCGAGATATAGCGCACATAAAATTAACGCTAGATTTGGCATACACTTACGCGATATTTCGTGTAAATTTAAGCGCAATATCGCATAAATTAGCAATATTGTTTGCAAGCTTGTAAACGATTTCGCTGTTTATGCCAAGTAAGCTCAAAATTAAACGAAGGGAGATTTTACGCGACAGAAAAAATGATGTTTTTTTCTGTTCAGAGTTATAACATGTTATAGCGCTATCTTGATGGTGGTTTCTGTGTTGCAATTATTTGACAACCGTTATAACATGTTATAACTCTCCAGTCTGGACAGCGTTTTAGATCCATAGGTCAACATTGGAGACATTTCCCCTATATTTTATTGCACAACTTACAAATATCCATAGAGAGTCTTATTTTTCGATTATCTACAGATCTGAACTGATTTATAGCTGAAATAACCAAGCACCTGGGGTGGATAAATTAATCAGGTAAGGTGAAAATATTTTCATCTTCCCATGCTTCACGATGAATTTTCCCGAATATATGAAAAATCACTGGTCACCCTGATAGCACTAATTCGTCCTGATGACAGATCTACAAACGTTTTCTAAAAAGCCTGATAAATACCTGTTACACATTCAATTTTGAACCCATTTGATCACAACAGGTTTCATTTTGAAGGCGAGTAAAAAACTTCCCATGTAGATAAACTTATCTAGGTTGCTCTAAACTAGAGAGTGTCTGGTATAAGCGAGGAGTGGCTTCAAAACAAACTGCCTTGGCAACCTATGCCTAGGTGGTTTCTGGCAGTGTAATGAAAACAAGATAGGCGCTGCTCGAATGGCTCTGGCTTTGACAGTTCGTTTGGCTCAAAACCAGCCAGTCCGCTCTTCTCTTATACTAGACCCTCTCTACTCTAAACTATGAAAACTGTTTATAATATATGTTTAGTGGTATGAAAAACCAATATTATTTTTTTATAAAAGCATACTGCTCAACTTACTGAAACAGTTCGGAAAGGTCACATGCTATACAACTCTGGGAAATCAGCTCTAATTTTCAAATTTATGGATCTCAGTTTGCCCCCCGTTACCCCTCGTCAAGGGCTAAAACTTTATGTTTTCATACTTTCGGTACCTACATTGCATTAATTTAGTAGCTAAGACGAATTATTAAGAGTTGTTTGATGCATTGTTTTAGATATGGGGTTTTTCATGGACGGTACCTTTTTAGATTTGCTTTGGAACTAATTTTATTGCAAGTACCTCCAACGGTTTTTTTTTTTATATTGTGTGACACAGAGTTATTATCCAACCTAATTACCATCTTCACTATTGACTAAACAATCCTGATCTTTTCGATTACGAACTGTTCACTAACTACATTTTTTTTAAGATGAAAGAATTTTTACCCTTTCAACCGCTTCATGGATAATCATCAATACAAAACTTTAAACGAATAAAGGACCATATACACTTAAACATCCCCCATCTAACATTGCCCACGTGGTATATGGGTGGCAACTAACGATAAAAAATAACTTGCCTTGATCCGTTTTCTTTTTAAATAAGTTCTGCCTGGTTATACTCAATATCCGAGTAGAACATCTCAGAAATGGTTTGTATAACTTGTAGCGATACAACACTGATTATTTATTATTTTTTCAGTTTTGTTTGTGATGTTTTGGCTAGTGAATTGAGCATCCTTAATAAACTGAAATATATTAATATGTTGAGCTAACAAATAATCAATCAATGGGTTTATTGGTATCAGAAAGATACAATCACACTTTAGGGGGCAAAATAAATTTCTCTTACATCCAATGTAAGGTTGGATTTATTTCATCCTCTGTTTATGTTTCATACAAGAAATGAAATGGCACTTGTTGCGACTAATTCAATTAAAACACCGATTTCCGATAGCTGTTGCTTACAAACACAGAAATTATCGTCGACTTCGGTAATTTTTACCGAAATCTGAACAGCTGAACTTTTCGGTCAAATTTATACAATTCAATTCAATTGCTTTTCAGCTACTTTGAAACTAAATCTCCACTAAAATGACAAGATTTGATCATTTAAACAAAGTTGAACATATTTTGATATTATTTTCAAATTCAATAGCCTTTAAAATGAAGGTCAAAGTTTTACCGAACGTTCAGCTGTTCTGATTTCGGTAAAATTTACCAAACACGAAAACAAAATCGTAGTGAGTACAGCTTCAAAACTGTAAATGTAGCGATTTCCATTATAGTTTGATGGTTTATATTTTGGAAATTTAATGTACTTATATTTCATTGTTATTAACAAATTAAATAGTCAATTTTCAAAATATCTGCCATATATTGGCAACACAATTATAAATGTAATTATTGCTGATTGCATCTGAAACTGAACTGTCCCAAAAATGCAAAAGTGTGATAAAAGTGCACGTTTCCGTCAAATCGTTTTGATGTTTTCGGAGCACTTATTACTTGCATCATAAGGAATAAGTGCACCGAAGACACCAAGACGATTAGACGTAAACTTGCAGTTTTATCACACTTTTTAATAAGTGAAAACGCGCTTATAGTCCAATTTGATGTGAAACGCGCAATAATAATCAATTTTAATTAATACACTTAGAAAAAAATATGTAAATTTAGGTGCTCTGAGACTGACATATACAAGCATCAATTTTGGCATAAAATTGAGTCATAATAGACGCGAAGTTCAGCTCAATCAAACGTACTTTCAAACTTTTCTGTCTCGGAGCACTTAATTTTACATGACATGCTTGTTTACGTCTCATCATTTGTTTCAAATATGGATTCCATCACGTGTAAAATAAGTTATTTCTAAGTGTTTATATTATATTTAATAAGGTTATACATTTCATTAAAAATTAATTCTAGGTATAATAAATTCAAGCTTACGGAATTATGTGTAGTATCGTTAATATTAATCCAAATCACTGATTGCACACAAATCTAGCAATGCACTCGATGAAAATACTATTTAACGATGAGAACTAAACTGCACTTCGTGTTAGCCTATCTTGGTGCATAAAATATGTCTTACAATGATTTTTTTCTGAGATCTTATATCAAATATTGACATCTCCATTACGATCTGTCGTTCGACGGAGTCGAGGGAGCGCCCGGCCGCACAATCGCACGGCGACGATCCATTGGTTGTTGCAACAGCAGTTCTTACAAGCGTACAAGCAAGTTTTGCCAGAATATACATTGTCGTATAAAACGACTAACATAAAAATTACAAAATTATTTTAAAAAATACCTTCCAGCGGCCACATTACAGAATCTGTTAATGCGGTCAAACATTCTCAACGTTTTGATCAGAAGCCGAACCGATCTGTAATCTTCGTCAAAGTTGTTCTGCATATTTTATTATCTCTTAGGTATAGGCAATATTGAGCAATGTGTGAAATGTTGACAGACAAATGAGAATTAAACTACTGCTTCCCATATACAAGCTTTAAAGTTCTGCCCCATATACAAACTTTAAAGCAAATCCAGATTACAACCAAATTTGATTCAAATTTAGCACAGTTGTTTGGACCTCAATACACATAAGAAGAGTAGGAGGGTTGGCAATTGTCTACAGTGCATATAAAAATGTGTAGGTACGAGTGTCTACACAGGGGCACGGAAGAGGGGTCTGAAACCCTCTAAAAAATTGTCTACGTAGTTTATGAACATACCCCAACTCCAAAGTATACCTTAAACATCCTTCTTGAATATGAATGAGGCAGATTTGGAATTACGGTTACATACAATTATTGAAAAATAAAAGTCTGATGCGCCCTCTGGACGCATAACCGCAATGGCTGACAAAATCGGGTCATTACTGTAGTAGGTATTATAATTTTTACTGGTTTTTTTAAAAATAAAGACAAAAGGAAAAAAAAAGAAAACAATAGTTTACCAGGGATGCTTGCGGTCAAATTTATAATCTATATCAAATCCAAGCGCTGTGCTAAACGCACCTCTATTATATTGCCAGATGTATGAACTACAGAGAAACATGTGCGGCTCTAAAAGACGAAAAACACATTTTATTGTATTTCCTATTTTGCGATTTACATACAACCAGATTACAAGCCATACGCAAAAAAACGCACTCACACACACACGCCACCGTCGCCAAATTTGGCCCAGTTCACTGCCCTTCCGCTCGCATACAACCTAACCTGCTGAGGTACGAGTCTTAGCAAGACCCCTTAAATATACCCCTTGTTCACATATAGGCAAAAAAAAAACCTTACCTTGCCGGGTACCTCCACGCACCGTTCTCCTATATGTTCCTCCAATTGGACACGGTGTTTACGACGCTATTCAACCAACAACTAACACAAAACAAGGTTAACGGTCAGCTTCCAGCTCTGTGTTTGGCATTTAATAAAAGAAAGTGACCTCTGCCGAAAGCAACCAAATGCTAAACAACATAAGCTTTTATATTAGATGACAGGCACTTTTTCAAACAAACACTGCGTCTAATTCACTTTTGCACAAAGCCTTTCACTGACTAATAAACAAAGCTAAAACGAACAAGCCTTATCAGCTTGTACTTCTCTTCAAAAACCAAGACTCCACGACGTTCTAATAGGGATGCACTTCGGAAACTATTGGGCAGCGAGAGTTACGCGTGACAGTAAGTACTTTTATAGAATAATGGCTATATATGAGCGATACAAATGGTTATCATCAGTGAGCACACTTACACAAAAAAAAACGGAAAAACAAAAACCGGCGTGCGACACTTGAGAGCAGCAGAAGGCGATCAAGGCAAACTTCTGTTCCTTCTGCTCTCTACAAATACAGTGTTTCTTCTTTTGATCGCGCACAATTTACGACTCCGGTGACTAAATCCGCTTTGGTAGGCCTAGTTTTTGAAACGGAATTACTTCTTGCCGCTCTTTTTCTCTATCATCTACACGCGTGCGAAACTGTTGCAGCCTCCGATCCGATCTGAGAGCCTTTGCACACCCGCTTCGATAGAGATGTATGTTTCCTACCTACTGCTGAAGTTTCCATCTAGTTATGCCAATGGTTTTTCGACTCGATGGGAAAGAGAGAGAGAGAGAGAGAGAGTGAGATCGGTTGGTTGATTTACAAGAGGCACATTTGAAACGACTTAGGAGTGTGTTTCGATAACCACTTTGAGGCACGTTCCGTTCTCTGAGTAATATCTAGTCATAGTCATAGGAATCTGAGATGATAGGAATGAGCTGATCTCCGCCGTGAGCAAACTCAGTATGCACACAAAGGGGATGATTACAAACTACGTAGACACTTGGGGGGAGGGGTGTTGGCGAGTATCTACGATTTTACTCTCGTTCTGCGCGGCGAATGAGAACGACCCAAATTTAAGTTTAGTTAACTCAAAATCGCCAAAAGTGCAGGAACTCAGCGATGAGTAAATTTTCCCTATGGTTTCCTCATCGCTGAGTTCCTGCACTTTATGTGATTTATGTTATGAGATAACTAAACTCAAATTTGGGTTGTTCTTATTCGTGTACGTTAAACATAACGTCGGACATAGTGCGAATTACAGCGTATCATTGTGTGAATACAGCGCACTATGTCCGACACTAACGTAACGTTAACGTACAGAACAATAGTTTTCAACTGTACCGATAATACACATTTCCAAAAATGTGTATGGTTTATTGTCTACGCGGCAGGAGGGGGTGCGATCTAAACTTTTCAAAACTGTTTACGTAGCTTATGAACAGCCCCGAAGGGCTGAGCAAATGTCTTACAAATGATTTGTTTGCTGTTGCAGGCATGCATGCATCTGAGCTGAACGGAATTAAGCGTGCCTTCTCGTAGAAGTGTGAAACTATGTGCGATTTATCATGCGCATTTCTTCTGGACTTAGATTAGGTTCAAAATATGTCTTATCTCTTCATATATTAAGGAGAGGAAATAACACAATATTTTTTTTAAACAAAACAAAAACACATTCATGTTTTAATCTTTAAAATTTGTCGAACCTCTTAACGGAATCCCTTTATGAAGAGCTTTGGGTGTGTTGGTTTATTTCCTTTAAATTCCGTTATAATAGATCATTGCATAATGACGTCACCATCAAAATTTTGACAGTTCAGGGAGCTCGTTTACATGGACATAGTAGTTTTTCGGAAGTTTCGATTCGAGTGCTCTTAAAAGTTGACTGTGATCTGAAAATGACCAGGACGGGTGTTTTAAAAAAGTGCGAATCTAGAAGAGATCGGAAAGGATGTCGGTTCTTTAAGTTTCCATCAGAATCCAAAAATCGTTTCCTAAACGCTTTGAATGCCAAGCGTAGAAAACTGTGGTTTTATGCATTGAAGCTGGAGGAGAATTTTCAGTGGAAATTCAAATATGTTAGCGCTCGACATTTTTGTTCCGGTAAAGCTTGTCGTAATTTGTTGAAAGTAAAACTTATGAAATTTTTTGATTCTAGGAAACCCTGCCAAAGCAACTGATGTCAGAGAAGTGGATTGGGTGCCGTCTAAAAATGTGTCCCAACCGGATGACTCAAGTTGCACTTACAATTCGAGTTCCAGTTCGATTTCAAGCTTAGAGGAACAGGCGAGGGAACAGGAGAATACAACGAGTATAACAATCGAAGGAGTCTAAAATATTCGTATTTGTTGTAGCTCAAACCAGTTTTCATCCTCGTATTTACCCTCAATCAAGGCACAGGAGGATAGTAGTGATGGTCGTACCAGTGGCAGCTCTTTTACACCAACAGCGAATACCGAAAAAAAATCCGAAACATTGGACAACCGCGAGTTTGTAGGATCCCCCACGTCTACACCCCGGTCCAGCAACTGTGATAGCGAAGCATCTTCCCCAGAGTTTGATGATGATGAACTGCCAAACTGCTTAGATCGTGCCATACAAGTTGGAGGTAGGAAAAATGTTACTGAATTTATAATTTAGTTAACCATAATGCTTATCTTTTACAGATTCATTCAAAAGCGCGAACGAAACATTTCAAAAATACTATAATGAGATTTTCCGTCTCCAAGATCACTGCTACGAGCTACAAAACCAGGTGGCAGCATACAGACGAGGGATTACATTTCTCACAACTGATGCAAAATGTAATTATTTTACTGGTATTCAAAACACAGTTGTTTTGAAAAAGTTATTCGCATTCGTTAAGCCTGCTTTGGACACTCCGCATTGCAGTCTTTCTACGGATCAGATGTTCGTTATGACTCTGACTAAGATGTGCCTCAACACACCACTAGCTTCATTAGCTTATGGCTATAATGTTTGCGACAGTACCATCTCAAAATATTTCCATCGTACATTGTACATTGTTTACCAATGTTGTCAGTGGGCTGTTGAACCAACGCCTGTAAGTAACTTGCTCCGACATACACCCGTAGAGTTCAAGTTACTATATGGTGAAAGGCGGGTCTTCATCGTTGATCGTTTCGAGGTTAGATGTCAAACGCCAGGGTCCTCGAACGCAGCTGCGTCTCACTACAGCAACTACAAAAAAAGTGAGACAGTCAAGTTTTTAATAGCGGCTCATCCAGATGGCACCATCTGTTTTGTTTCGATTGGTTTCGCTGGACGATGCTCTGATCGAGAAGTAACTGTTCAAAGTGGGTTTTTGGATTGCTTGCAGGCCAATGATGTTGTTTTGGCCGATAAAGGCTTCAACATTTCAGATTTGGTCAACGAGCGAAAAGCCATTCTGAACATACCGACATTTCTACGGAACAAAAAGCAATTCACTCCTTCAGAACTGGTGGCGGACAAGCAAATAACTTCTCTACGCATACATATTGAGCGGATTATAGGGTTGTTGCGGACAAAATACAAGATACTTCATGACGTTTTGATAGTCAAAACTCTTGTACGCTTCCAAAACGGATTCAACATTGTGGATCTAATTGTGAAAGTTGCATGTATTTTATGCAATTTAAATAAGTCTATAATATAATCTCTATGATTATCGTGAAGCTGACACGTAAATGAGAATTGTAATCCCAGTCAAAGAAAAGGATAAAAAGATCCTGACGAAGAGAAGAAGCCAATGAAAAGGAGGAAATGGTACGCGGATGACGACCACGATACCCGCAAAATAGAAGATACTATTGAGTAAGAAGTATTTACACATTTGAACCATCAATAAATTTCATTTTAATAATTTTAAATAATCAAGCAAGAACATCATGTGTATAACGGCGCCGGTGGTGTAGTGGTAAGCGTGATTACCTCTCACCCCAGCAGGCCTGGGTTCAATCCCAGTCGGCGCCGCCGGGATGTTCTGAGGCATAACATCTCTGATCACGCCTTCCTTCGGATGGGAAGTAAAGCCGTTGGTCCCCGGTTCATGAGTTGATGGGTCGATAGGTAGGGTCCAGGTGTGGGAGCTGCCTTCCTGGCACGTCGGGAGCATTGGTGCTCAGCACGGAAAACAAGATCGACGGAAAAAACAAACCAAAGGAAAAAAAAAAAAATAAAAAACATCATGTGTATTTCATTGATTGAATTGATTTGAAAAATGATTAGCTACGAGTTCAATTAAAATAATTTTTTGGAAGTATTTTTTCGATTTCTCTCGTGCTGATCTCTTTTGCTCCAAACAAATAGTAAACCATAGTTTGAATCCGTTATTTGGAACTGAGTTTGAATTTGAGCGTAATAAGGATGCTTTTTGACCATGACATAATTTCCATCTTGAACTTGTAAGGTCTGGTGTGGCAGCTATGTACGGTTGATTTTTATAAATAAAAAGTCCGCACTCGTGGAAAACAACAGAATCGTGAAACTCCTATTTTATCTTTAAAGTTCGTTTGGCTTCTTCTTCGTGACGCCGTCCATACAATGTTGCTTCACTGTTGAAAATCATGTAACCAGGATAGCAAATTTTCCTCAAAAGGGTCATCTTCGAAGGTACCTCTTCTGTAGATGACTGCATGCATTCCTTCATCACAGACGCAGTTATGCGGCCTGTGCGAGCCCATCTCCATAAATCGGAATTTGACTGTTTCCGTGTAAGTCGCTCCACTTCCTCGGTTTCTTCTTCGCTAATCGATATTGTCGAAGAAATGTGTGTGATGGTTCTACAAATGTTATCGAGAGTTTCGCCTTCCAGATTTGGATCAAATAAGTTTTGCAGTAGCACATTTTTTTGTTGAAAAAATTTATCCGGAATTGTATTATCCTCACAAGTCCTACAAGTGATATGTTGGCTACCACAGAACTTTTTAAGCACTGCTGCATCATATCCTACGGCTTTTAAATCGTTCACAAATGATAGGAATTTGTCTCGGCTACTGTTGACAGCAAGGTCATCCATTCTAGTGATTTTGAAGCCATAGTCAATATCCTTTACTGAATTGTTCAGATCTTCTTTGATCTTCTTCGACGGTCTTGCCCAGTAGCACGGTAGCTCTGTTACACTCAGCTGCAAAAAAAAAACATAAGTTAGCGATGCAATTTCAGAATGAACCTATCTGTGCTCCGAAAAAATCACACATCTTACCTTGTACGTGGACACCATAGTATGCAAATTGGCAAGTGCAAAAAGCAGCGTAGAGATGTGCGAACAGGCTTCACTCAGACCAGCCACGCAATTGCAGTGAGCGGATTGTACGACTTCGTTTGATTGAAGTATCACCCATGCCGTTAGTGGAGGAAGATTTAACTTCATAGAATGTGATACCTAAAAATTTTTGAAAAACATACGTATTAATTTAACAGGAACAACAACCTATACACCACTTTACCTTTCCTCTTACTACATGCAAACCATTGATAATAGCACCTTGAACAGTACAAACGAAACCATCCTCGAATTTCCGATAGGCTTGAAAGCTTTTGATTTTCCGGAAACGCTCTCCTGATATCGTGATTTACCAGATAATCAACAATGTGTCCTGCAGTCACTGTCGACGGGAAATCTTCCGTATTTAACTTAACTTCATACGGATCGACGTAGTCGATGGGACGGATTTTTTGTGCGTACCGCTTTTTGCTTTCTAGTGGCAAGGAATTAGCATAGACGGAGAGTTGACCGATTACTTTCGGATACATGTTAATAATTTTCACTGTAGAATCAGAATCACTACGGTCACAATCTGAGAGGCGATAATTCAAACCGATTTTAAATTCTAACACCTTGTAAACAAGCTCCCTGAACTGTCAAAAAAGTGAGGTTACATTTTCGCGTGCAATGATCTATTGCTTATCTTTTGACATATCCAGCTTTCCACGCTCGGTAATGGCGGCCTGTTTGTATGAATAAATATATCCTTCACTGCGCTTTTTGACACTAACTGGAGGGCGTATGTTATTCAATTTTCTTCTGTTCCTGGGAGAGGGAAAGGGAGGGACCAAAATCCGAACCTCCAGATAGCACAGTGAAGGATACATTGATTCATACAAACAGGCCGCCATTACCGAGCATGGAAAGCTGGATACGCGTATTTCGTCTACTACTTGCAGACTTCATCAGTGCCAAGTGAGTGGTGTTGAGTGGTATTGGCACTGATTAAGTCTGCAAGTAGTAGACGAAATACGCGTATCTGTCAAAAGATAAGCAATTATAACGGAATTTAAAGGAAATTAACCATTTTGGGTGGCCCTTTACATTTGTCTCAGGGAACCAAAATTTACATGACTTTTTAGTAGTGTAGTTTTACCCTATACGTCATTGTGAATTGTGAACAAGCTTTTAAAGCTTAAAATTCACGTTTATTTTACCAGTTGATTTGAATTTACATTTGAAATTCTGTGAAGAAGTGTTTCTGATCTACAGCATAATACCATAATACTGAATAAACCTGAATAAGACTTTGAAAAACTGAAAAGACTTTGAAAAACATCCAGAGAACCTTATTGAAATCATATTAAAAGTCCATATATATCAACTAAATTCTATAAACTTATACGAAGGTTCTTGCACTTCTACAAAGTTTCTCAATTCAATTCGATGAACTCAAATAAAGCTCTCTGAACTTCTTCCCAATCCGTTTAAGTTATCCCAGAGCCTCTATGAAGTTTCCTAAATTTGAGGAAAGTTCTTCGAATTGCTAGAAAGTTGCGTCCACTTCTACGAAGTTTTCTGAACTTATTCGATTTGTTTACAGCTTACACAAACTACAACTACATTTTTACAAAGTTTACTGAACTTGTAAATATTTCACATGTCGCATGCACTGTTCCCGGAAAATTGACCAAGATCTCAGAACATCATGTTGGATTTCTACAATATTCCCTTCTACTAAACTCCCTGAATTCTACGCAAATCTCTACAATCCAGCGAAGCTTCTAAGAAGTTACCTGAACTTTTAAATAATTCCTTAAATCCGAAGATTCTCGATTTTCTATTTAATTCGTTCAACTTGTACTATGCTTGTACTCAACTAGGCCGCCTCATGAATTATCATATGCGCTTCTGTATCGACAAGTACCTGCATCCCCAAATTTTCAACAGGCACTCTTGTATGTGAAGAAATGATGCTGCGTGATAAAAACAATTGAATACATTTAGCCAAATTTAAAGATAAAGTCTATATCGATGCTACAATTTTGTCTGTGCTACAATTATAATTATGTACCTTCTCCCTCAAGTGATATGCCAAGAATTTTAGTAAATTTTTGATAATCTTTAAGAAGTTCCGGGAATTTCAGGGACGTCCATAAAACTACAGAGAAGTTCAGAAAACTTTAGAAATATTTAAGGATCTTCATGGAAGTTCAGAGCACTTCAAGGATGTTTAAGCATTTTTCATTTATCCCATGAAAGATGCATTTGAGGAAAGTTGCGAGAACTTTAGAAAATCTCCAAGAACAGCAGAAAAGATCTGAAAACCGCAGGGAAGTTCAATTAACTTCAATTGAATTGCAGAATTTTCAAAGTAGTTCTGAGAAACTCAGGAATTCCCGAAAACATTAGCAATGTTCTGACACTTTCTGGGAAATTGCGGAATCTTCAGGGTGTTATAAAGTTCCGATAACTTCATGGCCGTTTCTAGAACTTCAAAACAATGCGGAAACTTCAAGGCAGTCTCATTATTTTCAGTAAAAAACAAGATCACATAACGAGTAAACAATTGTGGGCCAATCTATTAAAATTTCATGTTTCCATAAAAAGTCCCGTACAGTGAACTTTTGAACGATTTGGTCTTATTCCTACAAATTGTCATTATTAATATTTAATGCCTCACGTTTACATAAGATTTTTTTTCTTCAAATAATACATGCTCGCAACATAGTAATTTAAAATTATATAAAAAATTGCTTTCGAATCAGTCAAATCAAATCAATGTAAACTAATCAATCACAGAAAACTATGCCTCAACATGAATCACACACCAGGAATTTAGTGCAAGGTCGTATAGGACCGTTGCAACTCCGCTGGCCCAGCACCGTTGCCGGACGAGGAAGTTCTCGCCTGGGACATCATATGCTCCACACGGTTGGTCGTTTCCCGTACCACGCCGGAAATGTCCGGCAGATCTGGCAAATCCAGTGTAATGTGTGCCGACAACCGTTTGTACACGGAACTGTTGGAATCTTTCTTGGGCCGCCGCGATTCGACGTATTTCAGTTGCTGTTTCAGGAAGATTGCATTCTTCAGAGCTTCCTGTACGTTTTTCAGCGATGCATCTGCCGCTTCGATGTCCTTGACGGCTCTGTAGAGGAAAAACAATTGTAGTACCCTAATGCACACTATCATCCGATATGGAGTCGGTCACAACAAACTAAAATTTAAATACTAACTGAATCGCGTATTCCATATCGTAGCATTTTCCCTGCAAATCCTGCTGTAACTGATAGACCTCACCCCTGCGGTCCACAATCAGAGGAATCACCTTCCGGACATGTTCCTGTATCCGATAGAACGCCAGACTGGGCTCGTTCGCTATGATGTGCATGTTTTCGGAAATTTTCTCCGTAGCTAGCAAACATATGGAAGTGTTTAATATGTGAAGAGCTAGTGCAATGCGAAAAATACTCACTCTTCTTTACTTTGGCATGCAGTTCCGGATCGTTTACTGTGGTCATTCTGCTTAAAATAATGATTTCCCTGATCAGAAATCGTGACTGGACTTGGCCAAAAAATACGAGATGTTTGTTTACTACACGGTGGGTTCTCAAGCTTAGAATTTATTTTATTTTCAATAAATAGAACTGTCAAACGTGAACGACGGAGGGGTAGGAATTATAGTCTTGCGCGTCTGGCGTAGAAATACTCAGAGGGAGAGGTAAGGCCCAAGCGCAATGACAGCGGAAGCGAAGCGGCAGTGGCAGCGGAAAAGCCCTATTTGAGTATAAGGCTGCTTGTCTGATTGAAAACTAGTCAAAACTAGAGTCGGTGTATAATAAGTCACGCCAAGAGTGAAGCCAAGTCTACCTATTGAACTGTCAAATCGGCTACCTATCGTGCAAAGTAAATAAACATTCCGATGCTATGAAAGGTCCACGAAAGGTATTGCAATGAAATATAAAATAAAATTGAAGAAATCATCATAAACACGCAGCGAGCATTAAATGGTCATGGGATACGTTTGGTTTTGATCAGTAATGAGAATTTCTTCTATTTTTTTATAAGATAATTTGACAAAATCACTGATATTATGATTCACTACAGCCGTTATTTTTGGTTCTCGCTAGAAGTCATTTAAAGTTGATGTAGAAGTCCTCTGTTGCCAAGTGAAAAGAAAGGGAATCCTTCGGAAACCGTGATGCGAGTTCAACTTTTGACGTAGGACTACGTCTTTGATTTCTATATGGGGGTACACTTTGTGAAAATCGAAAATGGAACATGTAACAAATTAAGAAAGATTTTGCCCAAGGCGAACCAGCCAACGGCTGAAAGCCTTGTAAATAAAGGAAAAAAAAAAAAAAAAAAAAAAAAAGAAAGATTTTGAACGTTAATAACTCAGCTGCTCCTGGTCCAATTTCAATAATTTTATCACCAATAGATCAGAAATATGACTACGCATCGATAACAATGCTTTCAAATGTTGATTTTCAACAAGAAACTATTGAAAAACTGGTAAATGTCTCGTATTGTCCAAAAGCGTCGAATTAACTAACAAATCCACCAATTACCTACATGCATATGCTGCTTCCCCAGCACAGTCGTCAGAGAGTAGTAAGTAGACGAAACAAGTCGAAGTGGCATTCGCCTCCGATCCTCGGGCGCGTGCGAATAGGGAGGATGGAATTGCGTAATATTTTGCACACTCATCGCCATACTCAGAACCACACGCTCCCAACGACCACACCACTGTGTGGTGGTGTTCGGTCGTCGAAATTAGTAGCATCAGTAGCAGCAGTAGCAGTGCTTTCGGCGTGTGGCGTTGAAAATTGTTCTCTAGTAACAACGAAAGGCTGCCTGCAAGCAGCGAGCTGCAGAGCCCACATAAGCAACCATCAAAGGAAGAAAAAACTGCACCGCTATGCTATGGATCGAAATCAGTAGCTCTTCGTGAGTCACTGCGGGTCGGTCATCTATGCCAAGCGTGTCACCCTCACTCCAAACGACATACAGCTCGACAGCCGTGTTGAACACCCAGCTCAGAATTACTCAACCATTACTACAAAACGGTACTTTTCAGGGCCACCAAAAATTTGTTAAAGAGTATTATTTGGACATTGGTCAAGGTCATCAGTTCCCGCAAGCAGCTAGCTATCAAGGCTCAACCTGTCTATAGAAGGTGTGGAATTGTAGGCCAGCTGGTATTTCCCGGCGACTTTACAAATAAATAAAATCAAACAAAATCATCATGCAGAACTAGCTAGAATTTGTTTTACTTCATATTTCACAAAATTGCTTTCGAGTGTTAAGACATCGTCTCCCGCAAAGTTTACATTTTTCCCTCTACCAACACATACATCAGGGCTAGATAGATCTCCACAGGATCTATAGAATCCACCTTGGAATCCACGCAATTTCAAAAAAACCAAAATGCACAGCATTACGAAAAGAGGTCAGGTTTCGACCAATAGCAGATAGATTTTAATTCTAAACAAGACAAACGATTGGAAATTTATGTACCAATCTGCTAAAATGAACACTTAGTTAGTTTTCAATAGGTCACTATTGAAAAATACCAATGAGCAACCATAGAGAAGGAGGAAGAAGTCCCACCGCTAGGCTAGGATCGAAATCAGTAGCTCGACGTGCTCAGCTCAGCATTACTCAACCATCACTACAAAACGGTCCTTTTCAGGACCACCATAAATTTGTTACGAGTATTATTTGGACATTTGTCAAGGTCATCAGCTCCCGCAAGCAGCTAGCTATCAAGGCTCAACCTGGTCTCTATAGAAGGTGTGGAATTGTAGGCCCGAATGTATTGGTGAGATTAATCATAGTCCGACCATTTTCCAGAACACGCTGGTAGGAAGTGTTAAAAATCCATATAGAATTTGAGAGAAGTCGGAATAATTCGCTTTGGGTGTATATTCAGTACCCAGAAAGCCAAAAAAAAACAAATTTGTGAGAAAATTAGCTCTCACGAGTTCAATCTATCGAAACCCCTCCTTTTTTACATATTCTGCACAAACTATACTTTCCGCCCCGCCCCATTCATATAATTCGTAAGGAAATCCTGTGAGGGGTGAATTGAATACACTTTAATACCAAAATGCACAAAACTTAAAAAATCATATATAACAAAAGAAATCAAAATAAACCTTTTAAAGTCGGATAGATGAATCGAAAATACTCAAGTTGACTGTCCCTTGGATTTTCTTCATCAACTTTCTCTTTGAAATAAACACTACAAATTTGATACGCTTACAAATAAAAAACGGAAAGAGTTAAGACAAGAGTTAAGATAATTCAGTGCCAACATTTCAAAGGGGCGTAATTGCATTTGTAAACAATGGCTTTAGTCGTCGATTTCTCGCGAATAAAAGCTCACTCATGAAAAATAATGACACCAGCAGGTAGAGGAATGTTTCCTCTTACAGCTAGCATTGTAATTTTGGAGAGGTAAGATTTCATTCGTGAGAAATTGACGGCTAAAGTCATTGTTTACAAAAGCAATTACGCCCCTTTGAAATGTTGGCACTGAATTGATGATTGATCAATTAAAAGAACTAAATGGTCACATTTGTTCCGTCCACTAGCGGTCCTACGTCAAGCTTCCGTTCGTGCCCCTAGGCACAGACCCTTCTACTTTTTTTCTCTTGGCGTGACTCATTATACACCGACTCTAGTCAAAGCCAAATCGACTTCGGCTAGGCATCTTTCCGCCCAGATTACGTTTGGGCCTATAGGTGGAGTTTTCTACAATTCGGCAGCAAAGATTTATTCCTAAATTATCTTGCAACCCTTGCTAGAAGCTAGCATTTCAAATGACTTTTATTTTTGATTCGATTTACGTGCAAAATAATGATTGATTGCATTGCAATATTTTGCACATTTCTTGGTGCCATTAATTAACCAACTAAGATCAATTAATCTATAGGTGATTGAATTTCTGTACGATTGCAATTACTCTCAAATTTATTCTAGTAAGAATAAGAAATCCTCAGAAAAAATGCACATTTTAATGAAATCTTTTGTAAGTATTTGAAACTAACGGTATGATTTTATTTGCAGGCATCTTGTGCTATAGCTTGTTTCTACTGCCATGAAAATGTACAAGGTTATGTCTCTGGCTTGCAAAGGCATTTTAAAAGCCATTTGAATAGGAATGATTTCAAAGTCAGTGATATTTTTTTGACTGTACTTTTCCACGCTGTATTTTTGCGTTACTGGAGTTTTTATTTGCCAAATCAAATTAAATAAATATATTTCATACATTTCTTTGACAAAACTGGTTTTATTTTTATGAAAATTGGAAGCAAAGCATCCTTAATCCAAATTTAAAGTGAAATCCGAGCGCTGCCCAAGAGAACCGAATTCCGTAATTACAACAGGTGGGTCGGTTTGTTTGAAAGCGTTCGTTTTTTTTTTTAACTTTATTTAAGAGATTTTTAGCCTTTGGCTACACAGCAAAAAAAGTTGTTGAATATTACATCGAAACTGCTGCAACCAGGTCAATCCATCGGTTGTGTAATATCACATTGTACGATGTACATCGATTTTGCGAACAAAATTACATCCATTGATGTAATATTGTATCTGCGTTTTGCTATTACATCATTATTTCATACATCAGCTTGAATTACGTTGATCGATATTACATTTTTTTTTGCTGTGTAGTTCATCTTTTTTGACAGCGTTCGGTAATTCTTGAGTAAACCGATGTTCGGTTATTTCTGCTTAAATTTATTTTTCATCAACCGAGATTTTAGGTAAATTTGACAGATTGTGGGTAGCAAAAAGAACTAACGACAGCTCGGTTATTCCTCTTTGAACCGAACAGACTACCGAGCGTTCAGCACCAGGTTCAGCAGATAAAAACTCGGTTGAAATCAAACCGAGTTCGGTAATATTTTAAAGTGTGTTCTAAAAAAACATTACTATTTAACCTACGGAGCCTCTGGTCCTCTTCACAAGCCGTTCTAAGTTGGGTGGTGATTTCCAGATGCCGCTTCCTATGTATCCCGTAAAAAAATAGGTTCCCATTCTTGCATTCTGTGTACACGCTTAATACCGTTAAATCTACCATGATTTCAGTATAGTTGACTATAAATATAATCAAATTTACTACAATTCTGTCAAAACTATGCTTACACGCTAACTTCTGCTTACTCACCAGGTGAGTCGATCGTACTCACTTTCGTCCGATGTATCGAGTTGTCAAAAATTGAGTAAACGAGAAATGTCAAACTGAGTAAAAGCCACTCAGTCAGCAAAATCCTAGACTTGGAAAAAATGCCAGTCATGTCGGAGGAAACCTCATAGAAAATGTAACTCAAAACCGGCTGAAATGCCTTCAGGCAAGTACGAATTGCTTAGGGAAACGGTGTTGAACCGTTTTTTGCTCCGGTAGAATGAATCCGGAGCAGGCAATTTCCATTTCCTTGAATAAAAATCAAAACAAAAACTCTCCCTGCAACTGAAAATACCGGCGAGTGGATTTGACTCAGTCTACGTGAGAACGTAGTTTACTCAAAAGTGAGTCAAAATAAGGCTACTCAATTTTGAGTAGCCATACTTGCCGCTGAGATGAGAACATTCGACTCAATTTTGAGTTGACCAGAATAAGCGTGTACTCATACGGCATAGTAGTTTTGAAAGAAACAATAGTAAAATTAAATGGATTTCGTTTCTACAAAAATCTATCGGTGGGAGTATTTAATTTAAACCATCAATATACACGAAACGAAAATCAATTATTTAATTCATGTCTTTCACTTATACATTTTTGCCAAAGCATCAGCCTTATACATTCCATAAGACAAACCACATAGGTCCTACTAGAATGCATAAAAGGTATGTGTGACCGCTTATACATTTCATTTGACACATGATCTTTATTAACTTTTTGCAAGGCGTCTGCTTATTAGTTGACTTATACATTTTATGAATAATCAGCAATGGAAATTTGCCAAAAGGTATAAGGAGATTTCTATCCGTGTAGTATTTTTGCCAATGGATTTTGTTTCTGTGTAGCGACTATAATCTGCCCGAAAATTTCCTGAACACAACTTGCATACAACATACATTTCCTACCCCTCAGCAATATTGCACCCTCTTTTCTTTGTCCTGTCATTCGTATGCGTTGTACCGCATGCAAAAAACCAAAGGAGAAACCCGAAGCCGAAAACGCCGAAAAGAAGATCAAACGTCATCCCTCGACTCGCTCAATCGAAAGAAAAAGCAAACCGAGTTTTCGTTCGTCGATAACAGCAGCGAAAGAAAATTCTTTTTACGTGATTTTCAGTTACAAAAGCGGCGACAATCCGGCAGATTTGAGCGTTAAAGCCGGCGTACTTGTAGCGGAAACCGGTAGCACAAGGAAAAATCAGCGAAAATGTCCGACATCGACGATGATTTCATGTGCGAAGATGAGGAAGACTACGGGCTGGTAAGTGTTGCAAAAAATTTAGATTAGGGAAGAAGAAAAAGATTTCCCGTCTGGTCTTCAGCTTTGGGAACGGCGACAGTCTTTGTGACTATTTTTATCTAACGGTTTTGTTTTGTTGTGGTGCCGCTGGTTATAGGAATACTCCGAGGACAGCAACTCGGAGCCGGATGTGGATCTGGAAAATCAGTACTACAACAGTAAGGCGCTCAAGGAGGAAGCTCCCCAGGAAGCGCTTAAGTCCTTCCAGAAGGTGCTGGACCTGGAGAACGGCGAGAAGGGCGAATGGGGTTTTAAGGCACTCAAACAGATGATTAAGATTAACTTCAAATTGGTATGCTGCTGCTTGGGGTGATTGATGGTATGACACTTGGAGTTAATGACAACATTTCTGTATTTTAGCAAAATTACCCGGAAATGATGTCCCGGTATAAACAATTGCTGACCTATATCAAAAGCGCTGTGACAAGGAACCATTCGGAGAAGTCGATCAATTCAATTCTGGATTACATCTCCACGTCTAAAAATGTAAGGATTATTGTGATTCTCGTTTTGCTGATTGAATTATTGATTTTGTTATTGATGCAGATGGAACTCTTGCAAAACTTCTACGAAACCACGCTAGATGCGCTGAAGGATGCAAAGAACGATCGGCTCTGGTTCAAAACCAACACTAAACTTGGCAAGCTGTACTTTGACCGGAACGACTTCGGAAAGCTACAAAAGATCCTCAAACAGCTGCACCAATCCTGTCAAACCGACGACGGCGAGGATGACCTGAAGAAGGGAACCCAGCTGTTGGAAATCTACGCGCTTGAAATCCAAATGTACACCGTTCAGAAGAACAACAAGAAGCTGAAAGCCCTCTACGAGCAGTCGTTGCACATAAAATCGGCAATCCCGCACCCGTTGATTATGGGTGTTATTCGGGAGTGCGGCGGAAAGATGCACCTCCGGGAGGGTGAGTTCGAAAAGGCTCACACGGACTTTTTCGAAGCTTTCAAAAACTACGATGAGTCGGGTTCGTCTCGGCGCACCACCTGCCTCAAGTATCTGGTACTAGCGAATATGCTTATGAAATCGGGAATCAATCCGTTCGATTCGCAGGAAGCGAAACCGTACAAGAACGACCCGGAGATACTGGCAATGACCAACCTGGTGGTAAGCTACCAAAACAATGACATCATGGAGTTTGAGTCAATTCTACGGAACAATCGAAACAACATCATGGCCGATCCGTTCATCCGGGAGCACATCGAGGACCTGTTGCGCAACATCCGGACCCAGGTGCTGATCAAGCTAATTCGCCCGTATACGAAGATCACAATCCCGTTCATTTCGAACGAGCTGAACATCGAACCGGTCGAGGTGGAGAGTTTATTGGTTTCCTGTATTTTGGATAGGTAAGTGATATCGGTGCAGTTTGGTGACTAGATACAAAAATGAAATGAAATCTGAAATTGGACATTCCGTTTCAGCACCATCCAGGGTCGCATCGATCAGGTCAATCAGGTGCTGGAACTAAACAAGGAAGCCCGCTGCGGAGCACGTGATAGCGCCATCGAGAAGTGGTCCAGCCAGATCAATTCGGTACAAACAGCCATCATCAACAAAATGGCCTAGAGGGTAAGTTTGTGGCAACTGCTCTGCGACTAAAGACTGGTTCAGCCCACAGTTCACTCCCAGTTTAGCTTAGATGAAAGCGCGGGGAAGGCTAGTCTGTCCTCCGACCTCAAATCGCTTACAACTACCATGCAACATGATTATTAGAAACGAAACAGAGACCGAGAGTGTGTAGAGGAAGCTTACAATAAAGACCTACGGAAGGAGTCAACCGTTGTTATTATAAAACCGGAATTTTAGGTGATATTTTTTTATTCTTGCGAAAGAATTCTCCCGATGGTATTTTAAAATTTTATTTTTCATAATAATTATTGTTCTTCATAAGCCAATCGCTATCAAAAGTGTTCTTTTGAGTTTTCCGTTTTCTTCGAATGACGATAGCAACCAACATAGCGATACTAACCAGCATCGTGACCGCCAGCATTACACAGAATGCTATAAATCCTGTGCCCTTGTGGACATGCCAGCAAGCTTCATCGTCGGCAGAGCAAATTATAATCGGAAATCCCGCTTTGGAAAGATCACCTGGCTGAGTGCCGTCTACCAGACGAGCCAGCTGTGGTCCTCCGCAAAATGCCCCTCTATGATTAAGGTACTTCACCAGCCGAGCATCCTTACGACTTACAGGCCCAGCACAGCGCAAGTCATCCAACAGATATTGCAGATCTTCCTTTTGGTAGATCAACGGAAGGATGTCATCCACCAGCCACTGTCCGGAGCAGCTACAGTCCCAAGGATTTCCCTGTAGATTGATTTCTCCGCGTAGATTTTCCCATTCGGTTAGATTTTCCGGAATGGACGTCAATTGATTGTAGCTGAGATCCAGCTTGCACAGATCCGTTTCGTCGAATGCGTTCGCTTCAATGATCCGCAACTTGGGACAGTGCGAAATTTGAATCTCAACGCAATCTTGTTCCTTCTCATCTTCGACTCCAACTGCAATAGCATATAAAAGATGTACACTAAAGAAATCAGTGTCCACAAAACAAACTCACCCAACTTCCAGAAGCTGTACGCTTCCACCTCTACCAGATTCGGCAATCGATTCAACGACAACAGTTTTAACGAAACCCTACTTTCAAAGAAGACCCTCTTGAACGGGTTACCATCCAGGATCAATATCCTCAGTTGCTTTCCCAAATTTCGAGGCAAATCGGTAAGTAGATTGTCCGACAAATCCAATTCGGTCAGCTCCGGGAAGAAATCCCCGAAAAACACATCCAGCTGATTGTTGCTAGCGTTCAGAATCAAAATGTTCACCGTTTGTCCTAGATTCACATCCGTCAGTTTGTTATCCTGAATGTTCAACACTTGCACGTCTGCTGGAATCTTTGCAAAAGGCCAGCGATCGACACCGTTCCCAGCCATGCTTACCATGTGCAACGCTTGGGGAAGAAATAGATTTCCGGCTAAGTTTGTGATGGAGTTGTACGACAGGTCGAGTTGATTCAGCTGATCCAGGTTACTGAAAGCTTGTGGGTCGACAAACTGGATCTCGTTGTGCGATAAGTAGAGAGCTTGCCTAAAAACATCACACCACAAGATTAATCTTCAAGCTCACTCAAATCAAGCGGAACTCCTACACTTACAACTGTTGCAAGTTGGAAAATGTGCTCCCTCCAACCACCGTCAGCTTGTTCCAACTCAGATACAACCACTTCCAGCGCGGTAAGCCATCGCTTTCCCAGTTGTAGAGGTCGCAGTGCTCCAGCCGGACCGTGCTGGCATCCTGCAGAGCACGAGTTAGATGTACCGAAATAAGTTTCAGCTTGTTGTGGGAAAGGTCAATGTATTCGAGTTGCTCGAAGGAAGATCGCTCCAGGGCGGTGACCGCCGTCAGCGAGTTGTTGGACAGATCCAGGCGTTTGAGATTGTTTTTCAAAGCAAAGAAATCTGCGTGCGACGGGAAGATAGGTACGTTGTTTGTTATACGTGACGAATGCTGAGAGTTGAATGTTACATTACCTTTCTCGATGACACCCAACCTGTTTCCAGTTACGGTAAGGGTTTCCAAATTTTTGAAACCCTCGAACGGTTCGTTCTGGAACGAACTGATTGCGGTGTTTTTGAAGGTCAGTTCTACTACGTTCGTCCTGGTTGAAATTCTGCAATAGTAAACGCAAATGATTCATTTCAGTTTGGATTCGGTAGAGCTATGCCAACTAGAAGAGATTGAACCCTCTGGAGTTCTTTTTCCTGGTTGAGTGGAGGCGAACCAGCCTAAGACTGAAAGCCTCCTAAATAAAGCTAAATAATAATAATAATTCCTGGTTGAGCAAAGCACAGCGTAAGGGGATGGTCGGCCCGAGAATTTATTACAATATTAGAAATCGTCTCCTTGTGTCATATGATCAGAACAGTGTCTTACCAATTGCACCCCGGCAACTATATTTTTTTGGTTTGAATTTTGGAATTGTTGGCGGCCAAATTAGCCGCCATGGATTTTTTCGAAGAAATTAGCTTACTTAAGAACGCCATTTTAAGCTGAGACTTTTGTCCAATAAGACTTATAATAAGGTTGGAAGAATTTGTTCATCGCAAGGAACCAGAAGAAAAAAATAGAAGAGGTGTAGGATTTTTCAAGTTTAGAAGGTTATCTGACTTGCAAGTCCCAAACAAACAGCGATTTTTAAATTGCTAGTTTGCACGGTAAGAAAAAAATACCCAACATTGAGTTCCTTTCACTCATCACGTGGCTTCCGTGGGGCTAGGTAAAATTAAGTTAAATAAGAAAACTCAATTTTGAGTAATCCTGAAGTTGACAAAAAAATAATAAAACGGAGCAGGCTGGAACCGAACCATGGACGTTGAGATTACGGGGCCCGTGTGTTAACCACTCGTCTATCAACGCTTGTGAAAATGAAATGGTTAAAGTCGCATAACAGCAACCTCAATTAAAATAAACTTATATTTGAGTTTATTTATTATTACTCAATAGTTGAGTAAATTTTAACCAACGCCGCTTTTCTGATTTACTCAACGGCGGACCTCAAATGATAGAACCCAACGTTGAGTTTTTTTTAACTTAATTTTGAGTATTTTTTTCTTGCCGTGTGGTATGTAAGCCTTCTAAGCAGGTCCACGTGTTTATAGGGACAAAAAGTATTCATTTTCAATTGAATTCAGTATAAAATTTAAGGTTTGACATTGGAAAGGAAACATTTTGACGTCAGAAGCCGGACTTGCTAAAGCACTATAAATAGTAAATATATATAGTAAAAGTATGGACGTCTGTCAAAAGTTGTTCCAAGTTCCAATCGAATCATCAAAATGCATCAAAGTGAAAATTCAATAAATGGAACCCAGCATCAGTACTTTAAAGATGTCCGTAGGGTCAGTGAATTTTCCATTTCCCGGTTTTTTTCCCGGTTGAAAGGTCTAAATTCCCGGTTTTTTTTATTCAGCAAGAAGCGAAATTATTCTTTAAATTTGGTATTTGAGCACGATTGATTTCGACGTTTGTTTAGAGTCTTTGTTAGAGTTAAGATTTGTGCATTATAAAAACATTCGTGATCCTTGATTTTTTAAGAATACATAATTTTCAGGGATCTAACAATTGAATGATTTTCTATAGACTTTCTATAGAAATTCTGAGATGAAATCCAAGGTATATTTGGGGACACGAAAGGATGTTGTGAATTCCTATGTGATTCTGAAAAGAGTTAGGTTTGAATCGGAAGGACGACACCAGATGAATTTTAAGAAGAATTAAAAGAGATTTATAAAATGAAATAAAAAGGTATGCTGAGGATAATTTCACTGAAGAAGATTCAAAAAGAACTTTCCGTGAAAGAGAATTCCGTGAAAAAATACCTAAAGGATCATATTTTGAGAATAATGCATTAAAAATTGAGCATAATTTAAAGGAAATTCTTAGCAAAGAATCAGGAAAATACAGAGTAAAAAACACATTTGAGAAGAATTTCAAAGGAATTTAATTATTGAATTACATATCTGCATACGAATTTTAAGAAGGATTCCAAGGTAATTCTCAGGAAAATTTCTATGAAATTTCAACAAAAATTCCAAGATAATTACGAGGATAGTAACTAGGAAAATTACTGGTAGCTTTAAGAAGAATTTCATGATATTTCTGATTTTTTTTTAGATTTTTTTATTTGCTCAGGCTCAATTGAATAAACTTTACAGAGCCAAGTTAGCATTTACGTTAAACATACTTAATCTTATTCTTAAATCTAGAGTTACAGCAATTGAACCTCCAGGTCGTCTTGAGGTTAGTGGAGATTTCCAATTTTATGGATAGGGAGAGGGAGAAGGAGATTTGAAATATGATTTACGATACAAATATTTCACTATTCCTAAAACATGAACTTATTTCTATTCAACTTGATATCAGCACGAAGGGAATCGCATAGCTCAGATCTGACTCCACGATGCTCAGCACATGGCCAAATAATGTGAACTGCGTCCTAGTAACCTTGTCCACATTCACAGAGATTACTGTCCCCCAGCCCAACACGGAACAAGTGAGCGTTTAACGAGTAGTGATTGGACATGAGGCGAGACATCATACGAATAAAGTCTCGACCCACATCCAACCCCTTGAACCAAGGACTCTTCGACACCTTAGGGATGATCGAATATAGCCATCGTCCCAAACTCCCTTCACTCCATTTATTCTACCTACTGGCGAGCGACTGTTGACGATAAATGAAGAAAAATTCGTTGTAGGCGATTTGTCGCCTTCCATAGCGCCTACCTTAGCAAAGATAAAGCACTTAGATGCTCTCGGATTTTCATGGAGCGAATAGCCTCGACAGAAATGAGACTATCCTTAAATATGAAATAGTGATCGGGTGATAGTGAGGCAATAGTTTCTAGAGTATAATGTATTGACGCCAGCTCAGCGACATATACGGAACAAGGAGCATGACCATTTCGAGAGGCGCTATGAAGTTCGTTAAAAATACCAAAACCAGCGGACGCCTCTATTAGTGATCGATCTGTGAAGAACGATCTTGCGGAATCAACTTGGCCAAACTTTGCAGTGTATAATGACGGAGCAATCATGGAACGATGACGCTCTGGGTTTCCGCGAATCTCCCGCGTCATAGATAAATCAAAACTAACTGAATTGCCGAAATCGGTGAAGCATACACGATGAGGATTATGCTGTGAAGGGTTGACATCCTGTGTTATGTACACGTAGTACATAGTCATGAAACAAGTTTGAGGGTTAAGTTCAACAAGCTTTCCAAAGTTATCGATTACCAAGGGGTTGATAAGTTCACAGCGGGTGAGGAGGCTGAGGGTCAATTCGGTGAACCGATTCGCGAGTGGTAATATACTCGCCAACACTTCGGGGCTAACGGCGCCGGTGGTGTAGTGGTAAGCGTGATTACCTCTCACCCCAGCAGGCCTGGGTTCAATCCCAGTCGGCGCCGCCGGGATGTTCTGAGGCATAACATCTCTGATCACGCCTTCCTTCGGATGGGAAGTAAAGCCGTTGGTCCCCGGTTCATGAGTTGATTGATGGGTCGATAGTTAGGGTCCAGGTGTGGTGGGAGCTGTCTTCCTGGCACGTCGGTAGCATTGGTGCTCAGCACGGAAAACAAGATCGACGGAAAAAACAAACCAAAGGAAAAAAAACACTTCGGGGCTCATCGTACGAGTCGAGTACACGCATCCTAACGCAATACGAAGACAGCGATACTGGATACGTTCCAGTTTGATTGGAAACAAAAACTATCGTACTCTAAAACCGATAAAATCGTCGTCCGGTACAACGTTAGCAGATCTTGTGGATGGGCTCCCCACCACGTTCCGGTAATTGTACGGAGAAAAAATGATCCTTTGTTGGCATTTCCGCTTCAGATACTTAATGTGGGATCTCCAGATGCATTTGGAATCAAATCAAATCCCAAAGAAGGACATAGAATGAGTGATCGGTTTAAAGTTGAAGGTTCGGTTGTGCTGGGCTATGGTTCCTAAAAAAACGACCAAATCAGTTTTTCCCGTGGAGAATTCGATACCTATCTGAATAGCCCATGTAGACTTATTATCTAAGGTATCCTGTAAGAGTCCTTGCAGTGCTTTAGGCCCTGTGACAGTCACTACGCCGTCATCTGCAAGTTGTCTCAACGTGCAGTTGTCACTAAAACAATAAATTATCAATTTCTCTGACATAGAAATTATACACAAGGGGGCTTAAACATGAGCCCTGGGGGAGACCCATGTAGCTAAATCGTGAAACAGTAGAGTTTCCATGAGAAAAGTTCATATGTTTCTCTGACAGCAAATTGTACACAAAATTATTAATTAATGGAGAAAGACCACAAGCGTGTAGTTTGTCTGAAAGTACTTCAACTGATACTGAATCAAAAGTCCCCTTGATATACAAAAACACAGAAGCCATTTGCTCTTTTTTAGCAAAAACCAACTGAATTTCTGTGGAAAGCAACGCGAGACAGTCGTTCGTTTTCTTGCCCCTTCGGCAACTAATGGTAGATGGTTTCCCTCAACCCATTTGTCCAGACGAAAAAGGATCATTTTCTCCAACAATTTTAGCAACAATCAATACGAAACTAACGATTTTAAATTGGCTCACTACTTGACTAGCGTATTGGTCCCAAGGAAACGATTAACGTACCCCATTCTAGTCGAAATTCTAGTACTACACAATGTTTGTTTTGATTCGCTATGAAAGTTTGACAGATAAAATGAGGGGTTCGTGGATTTTCCTATATTTTGAGGGGTGAATCGATTAGCTTAGGACCGAAGAGAGTACCAGAGCTGAGCCAAAAAGTTGAGCACGTTTCTTCGGGACCTTCTAGTCTTAGAGTTACCTCTATGATTTTAGTATGCACGATAGCTCACAGCTCAAAATTTCAAAACTGTTACAAGATTTCTTGATCAGAAAAATAAGGTCTATCAGTAGTTTCTTATAACTTATCGTTGATATTTCTTCAGCAGCTTTAGAAACGGTCATTAGTTTCTTATATGACACGATGTTTTTCTAGATTTTAATAAACATTAAAAATGCTTTTAAAAAATAAATCCCAAACAGTGCTGCTTGTTCGCAATATTTTCTCTTGGCGGGACTCTTATTATAACATCGACTCTGGAGAAAAGCAGAAAAAAAAAGATTCGGAAAATTCTGGAAAACCTCAATATAGTCTCAGGAAGGCTTTTCCAGAACTTTCAATTACTGTTCATTTATATTTTCTTATTACAAAGATTACCCTGAAAATAACAGAAATTTGTCCACGAAAAATATGTTGTTATGTGAAATAAGCAATTGCAACCCTGTTCTGAAATATATCTCACCCAACCCCCTTCATCCACCATCATTCAAAATTCCTGATGCAGACAAGTACAGACAATTCATTAGCTTTCGTGCAGACAATTTGCAAAATTATATGGCATCGACGCATCGTTAGACCTCAGCATGGGGAAATCACGTAGTGACGCGAGTGCTCCAGGAAATGGTCCCGGACAAACGCCACCAACATTCAGTCGGTATCGACGAAGGAGCTAGCTTACAACCGTCACGCCTTACTGGAAAACGGCGACGAATCGAAGGTCGAAAAGAAGGAGAAACTATTGACGAGTGCACGGATGGATTTGAGTTCACTCACTCGACAAAAAGTGACACAACAGCGGGGCCCTGTTTACTAAAAATGAACACATATGTGTTCATTTTTAGTAAACAGGGCCCCGCTGTTGTGTCACTTTTTGTCGAGTGAGTGAACTCAAATCCATTCGTGCACTCGTCAATAGCCGTTTTTCATTAAGGGATTCCCGACTAACTTGCGGGAGACGATTGACCGCTTGTGCACAGAAGCACAGAACAGAAGAGGAAGTGCAAACAAATCGGTGAATCTATAACGTGGTTCGTTTTTCTACTCAACAAGCGATGCGTTGTGGTAGCGTTCCATACGGGCTTTCTAAGCGCACTCACACTATCATAGCATGCTGCCTATCTTAACTGCAGGCAGAAGATGGATGGATATCGCACCCACTCAACACACATGGGCCGGGACCAACGGCTTTACTTCCCTTCCGAAGGAAGACGTGAACAGAGATTTTATGCCTCAGAAAATCCCACCGACCTCGGCTGGGATTGAACCCAGATCCATTGGAGTGAGAAAGCATTCACTCTTACGACTACACCACTACAGTACAGACTACAGTGCGAAACCGAACTTTTTGTCAGTGCGAACCTCAACCTGAGCTAGGTTTTAAAAACAAACGAGCCAACTGACGTTTTTTCAGAAAACAAGCAGACCCAATCTTGATACCCGATCCAGGTTGGAACTGAATAAAGGCCTCAACGCAATGTGGGCGGAAGCGGAACGGAAACGGAAAGTTTGACAGTTGTCACAAATGACATCAAGATGCCTAACCGAAGTCGATTTGGTTCTAACTAGTTTTCAATTCGACAATTTATTGGCTTACTCAGATCGGGCTTTTCCGCTGCCGCTGCCGTTCCGGCCTTAATAAATGAATTCGCTATATGTTTATTTTGATTCGTTATGAAAGTTTGACAGATAAAATGAGGGGTTCGTGGATTTTCCTATGTTTCGAGGGGTGAATTGATTAGCTTGGGAGCGAAGAGAGTACCAGAGCTGGGACCACATTGTGCATCTCGAGACGAAAAACTTTTTCATACAAGCATTTGTACAAAGTCTTTCGTTTTGAGATTCGCAATGTGACCCCTGAGCCAAAAAGTTGAGCACGTTTCTTCACGACCTTCTTGTCTTATAGAGCTACCTCTATGGTTTCACTTCTGTTCTGTGACAAAACTCTACATTCATAGTCTGGAGGATAGAATCTCGGGAACCAATTAAGCTGTCAAATAGCGGAACCAATAAACGAGCAAATCACGACTAACAACAGAAAAGAGCACATCAGCTATTGCGAACAAAACGTCGGAAACCATTTTCTCGTGACTCAAGGCTCGCTTTTTGATAGATCGAAATTTTATCCGCCAGACTATGAATATAGCGACTATACTACAAGGTGGTTCAAACTATGCTGGATAAAATGAAGATGGAGTACTTTTTCCACGACATCTACTAGACCAACAAACCGCTAAAGGTGGTTCTGCGCGGCCTTCCTGACATGGAAACCGACTCTTTGTCGAAAGTACTGAAAGTGAATGGACTCAAATCGGTCCAGCTCTACAAGCTGATTCTTCATGACGCCTTTCACGAGTGATGAACAGAAGAAGAAAGGACAACATGCGGTCACCAACGGTCGTTTCTGATTTCAACGGCGTTGTAATATGTAGACTGTTACCGTCTACAACAATGATTGATGCGTTTCACTTAAACATTAACATCGTTATGCACGCACAAGAACTTATAGGTAACGCAAAGCAATTTCAAACGACCGCAACATTAAAAGCATTGGCAGCATGGGCGTTTATTGACATTTCTTTCGTTATCACTTCTTATCACTTTGAAAGGGTATCTCAGGGCTTTATAGTCACAAAACCGTTTCACAACGATAAGCAACCGGTGTCGTAGATAAAGCAGCTTGCAACCGAGTCACCGTTAGGGCGGATTCAATTTCAAGTTCGTAATGTATCATCACATTTTTCTTTTGCAACGAATTATCGACGTTCGTTACTCACTTTGGCAAATGCTGCAAGTGTAGACCCCCGAAGTGTGCTCGCACTTTCAGCGGTACACTGGTGGCATCCTTTGCCACAGGCCAAACGATGCTCTTCAAGTCGAAGAATTTGGTAGACTGTCCTCCACCAAGACACTCAACAGTGACCTCGTCGTTGTCGACGTCTTCAAAGCAGAAACACAACGAGCAGATTTCAACCATCTGTATTACACCTGTTGCACGTAGAAGCGTTGCACTTAGCAGCAATAGCAGCGCAACATAACGTGGCTTTTTGTTATTTAAATGGTTCATGCTTAAATTATCTGAGTGGCGCTTAATGCGACATATTCACTTAATGCGAGTTAAATGTAGACTAACCAGGTAACTAAGACTGACTCAATTTTGGTATAGAAAAACGGTTGTAGCACGGTATCTACTACAATCGATTTCATTGTATCAAGTGGGTACCTATCAGTTCTGATAAGATACAAAAAGCTTATATTGTACCGTGTGGTGCCTGTTCACGGTACGACCTCGAAATGAGCGTTGATAAAGTTCTCAAAATGTATTCTAACATTTTTTCAACCGACTAATTCACTCATTTAAGATACCTGCTGCAGCAGATCACGTGTAACCATCGATACTTTTATTTCACTGTATATACTCGAAAAAAAATCTTTTGTTCACATCGATATGAGCGGTGAATGGAAACCCAACAACGATCAAGGGTTCCCTTCATCGCTCACAAACTAAACTAAACCTAAAATAGGCATTACTACCAATATTTCATAACAAAGGCGAGTGTTTATTCAATATCTAATACCTCAATAACTTACAAACCATAGAATGCGTTAAATGGCCAGAACCTTAACCTCAATCTACATATGCACCAACTCTCAAAACATAAACAATTCAAAATATTGCTTGTTTTGAATGTTTTAAAAATTTATCGCAAAAATACGCTCAATACATTAATGAAAATTAATTTAACTAAAAATGTGAACTTGATGTTGCTCTAAAATGAGCGGTGAACGAGCACCACACGGTACCTAGTTCCTTATCAATATGATTTGCTGTTTGTATTCTTGGAACAAGGAAGAATCATATCTGACTAACTGCTCGAAATTCTCTATCAGTCATTCACTAAACAATTTTAAGCACTCATGTCATCCTGGGCGACTGTTTGCTCTCGCCTTGACTCACTGGCCAGCCCAAGTAACAATTTTGGTTTTATAAGGATTCTGTAGACCATGAATTGGACTTATAGACCGCTTTAAAACCTTGATAAAACTTGCAATGTTACTTCGGCAGCTCATCAATTCAGTGCCAACATTTCAAAGGGGCGTAATTGCATTTGTAAACAATGGCTTTAGCTATCGATTTCTCGCGAATAAAAGCTCACTCATAAAAATTAATGACACCAACTGTACAGGTAGAGGAATGTTTCCTCTAGTAGCTAGCATTGTTGACTTGGAGGGGTGAGCGTTTATTTGCGAGTAATTGACGTCTGAAGCCATTGTTTACAAAAGAAATTACGCCCCTTTGAAATGTTGACACTGAATTTCCGTCGTCATGCTTGATTTCATTGATCAGGCTTTGCCGCCATGAGCCTGCGACTGCCTCAAATCAGTTCGCAATCTTTATCTTTTGCTTTCCGCTAATAATTTTCGGAGCTAGAAAGTGGCTGTACTAAGGTTTCATATCCACCGTGAATAGGCTGTCATCTTACGAAGAATGTTTTCAGATGCCATTGCCATCCCGCTGCTTGTACTGGATCGCTTATTTCAAATACCCAGTTTTAATCGTGGATCACCTAGGTATATCTAATCGCGCTCCTTTTACGCAAGCGGTGCATCGGACAAATTCTCTACCATTCTACCCAAAACCAAAAAATTGGATCTTCACTTAGAAAGTATATTTACCGAAAAGAAAGCGTCCTTAACAATCAACATTTCACCTACTGGTACTCGATCTTCTTCAGCTCCTTCCTATTTTTAATATGCTTAAACTTCATCTCGCCCTTCTTGTCCTTGTTCAGGGTCTTGAAGTGACCCAAACCCCGGTTTCCTGCCCGCCGATCCGAGTTCTGAATCTTGTAGCTCTTGCCAAAGTCCACGTAGGGAGGCTGCGTGAAGCCAAAGTTTTTCGCCACCTTCACCAGGTCCAAATTACCCACATTAAAAACGTCCTTCATGTGGTGCCCTTCGTACGCCCGAACGTACGTCTTGAACGCCAACTTGCCGGACTGGTTAAGGAAGTAGTTCTTCGACAGAAGATTTTCCAACTGCAACTGAATGTCGGCGATCTTGCTCCAGGAGAACTCAAACTCATTCAATGGAACCTTTGCCTGCTTAAGGTACTTGAGGAAAGACACCTCCTCCGGACGAAGCAACAGCAGAGCGTGGCCACAGATGTTCTCGCCTCGGGCAGTACGGCCGACTCGGTGAATGTATTCCTTGGTGTCATTCGGTGGGTCGTACTGCACAATCCAATCGACGGCCGGAATATCCAAACCACGAGCAGCCACATCTGTACACAGCAGGATACCGGATTCGGCGTTGCAAAACTGGAAGAAGACTGACGTACGCTTGGCTTGTTTCTGTTTGCCCTGTGAATCGAAAATGGCTCAGTTTAAATCGCCGAAAGGTTCTAGACAAAAAACAATACAACTTACGTGAATAGAATTCACCGGTAGGTCAATGTAGTTGAATAGCTCGTGATGGTATTTAACGGACAAACACGACGAGAAGAACACCATAACCTTCTTCTTGCGGTTCTTCTTGAGGAACGTGAACAACATAAGCAAGCGCTTCTCCGAGGGACACACGATGTAACCCTGCTCCAGTCCAGTGACGGTGGCTTCCGTCTTGTGATCGTCCACTCCGACATAGATTGGTTCTGATTTCAGCGCAAGCTTACCCAGTTCATCTGTCCGAGACGTCTGCGTCGCCGAAAACAGCATCGTCTGCCGTTTTTCTGTAAAAAAACAAAACAAATTTCAATTAACAAATGCTCACCAACTGTAATAATCAACACACTCACTAGGAAGGATACTGATGATCTGCTTCATATCCTCCTCGAATCCAATTTCCAAGATACGATCGCACTCGTCTATAATCAAGCACTGCAGATTCTTGAACAGAAAATTCGGCGTCCCCTTCAAATGATCCAGCAGACGACCCGGCGTAGCCACCACAATGTTCAATCCTTTGCCCAGCTTTTCGTTCTCCGTATGCCGACTGGCACCTCCCATCAAGAGCCCATAGGTGTGATGTTGATGTGCCATCAGCTCCTTCAGCACTCCGAAAATTTGCATCGCCAGTTCCCGCGTAGGAGAAATGATAATCACCCCCGTTCCGTTCCGTGGTTTGAATTGCAACTTGTGAATCAACTCCACAGCCGGAATCAAAAATGCCAACGTTTTACCACTGCCAGTCTTGGCAGAACCAATCAAATCACGTCCCTCCAGCAGCGGTGGAATGGCTTTTGCTTGAATTTCGGTCATCTTTGTGAATTCCATTTCGGCGATCGCCTTCAACGTATTGTCCGACACCTTGCCACGAAGCGATTCGAATTCCTGATTGCCCAGCAAAATTTCATACGCACTGCCGCTACCAACCGGCGACACATCTTGTTCCCCTCCTTCGTCACTCGATTCAGCGTCACCATCTTCCTCCGGCTGACCATTTTCTTCTTCGTCGCTTTGCTTTGGCCTCTTTACAACTACAAAAAAAAAATCAATCAACATTCCAGAACATTCAACCTTTCATAAGTAACTTACAGGCCCCGACTTCCGCTTCCTTATTTTTGCGTTTTTTTTTCTTCTTGTCCGCCTTGGAGGATTCCGGTTCTAGCTCGAAATTTTCCTCCAAATCCTCAACGGATGCTGTAAATTTCGTAAGAAAAATTTGTTGGTGTAAACAAAACACGTTTCTCTCGGCAGTCGGAGTCGGATTTCGTCTTACCTTTCCCATTCTGTGCAACCGCTTTGGATTGGGTTTCCGCTTTATTTTTCAACTTTATTTTCTTGCCCATTGTGACGATTGATGGAGTTTTTAAATTTTACGATAAATGTTCACACTTTTTCGTCGAAAATTACGGGAAAACTTGGGAAAATTACGAACTAGCGCTGAACAACGCACGTGTAGAAGAATGCGCTCTCCGAATTTGAGTTTTATTTTGACATTTTGATCTGTGGAACAAGTTTTGGCTCTGTTTGTGGAACAAGAGATGACGTTTGTGTACACGCTATTTCAAAACTCCCCAAATTCGGGTAGAATCCACCCAGATCGGTCAAAATTGAACCTACCCAAAAATGGGTAAACTGTCTTTGAAATGTACGGTAAAAAGTTATCACATCTAATCCAAATGCTCTTGCACTTGCCTCAGTCTTTTATGCGGCACAACAAATCGAAGTGATTTATCATTGATTTTCAAGTTATTTGCGTTTTGGAACAAAGTGATTTGTTGTTGAAAAATATATACTGTATAACACCTTTAAATCAAAATGATTATCATTTGAATCGGCACCACTGTTTTCATCCATTGAATTTGATTAGTTTTGCTTTTGGAAGCAAATGCCAAAAACGCACATGACAAACATTACTCGCGAAGATGGCAAGTCAACAACAAATGAATTCAAGCGATAGAAGCGATAATTCTCCATCTCCACTAGAACGTGAGTAATATGAAACTGTTGCTGTAGTCAATAACTGAGTACTGCGAACTCAACCGATTTTATTTTTCAAGTGAGCCAGAAAACATCTTGAAAATCTTTCGAAGTTTCAAATTGTTTTGCTGAAACAGCTCACGAAATTTGCTGAAACAGCTCACGAAATTACGTCCAAGTTCGGTCAGAAACTTGTGTAAAGTTAAGTGGAAACGACGTTGAGATTACGGAGTTCGTATGTTGACCACTCGTCTTTCAACGCTTAAGAATATGGAATGGCTAAAGGCGTATAAGAGCCCTAATAAACAAATACCATAAACGAACGATAACCCAAATTGCCGAACTTTTCCACAAATGGTATGGATGATACCCCACGCACGTCGTTAAGCAAAATGACCATACACATTTTTTTAGGGAGCTACGTTATGTTAGATGAAAACCTTTCATAAGTCGCGCTTATGAAATTCATATTTGTCGTTCATAAGTCGAGTCTTATGAAATGGATCACATCATTCGAACAGTTTAAAACGACGTTTCCTACCACTCGAACTTTAACGTGGAACAACCAGCGATTTCACAAAACTGGACCAACTAATTTCTATTTTTTTTTTTATGAAACGCACAAATGTTGGCTAGTTTTCTCGTGGTTCTAGAAGGACAAATCTCAAAATAATGTTTTATTTCAAAGTTCGAGGGGTAGTAAACGTCATTTTAACTGCTCGAATGAAGTGGTTAATATTTTAATAATTTTTCTTCTACAACCTCGAGAAAATAGGGTCTTATTTGTAAAATGCTTGTCAAATCTGAAATTGATTGTTTCATTTCCGTAAAATCGCTGGTAGAAGGTCGTCCCAAAACTGCTCGACAATATGATTAATTAATTATATGATTTGAGTAGTAGCTACACTGACGATCCGAGAGATGTCGCCCCTTCAGTGGTAGGAAAATCATTTTTGCAGTATGGAGAATATCAGAAAATCCACGATTTGTGACTAAACATGCTTTCACAGAAGGAAACAAATAAACGAGTGTTTACCTTATCACCATAGTAATGTTCTCGGGCAATTTTTGTGCATCTAAAACTGTCCATAAAGACGATAATGAATAAAAACTGAAAATGTTCATGCATTTCCAAATGGTTTCCTACCATTCCCATACATTCGAAGCCCTCTGGATGTGGATGATGTCAAAAACAACAAAACATGATTAATTCTTAAGTCTTTTTGCCTCAGTGTACGGTTTGTATGTTCTACTTCTTTTTCGTTTCATGATTAATACAATTGTTTTCAAATCAAAATTCAAAGTTGTCTTAGGAAGGTTTCTCATATTATAAATATTTATTATTATGAAAAACACGTTCGGTTTTGAAATGTTGACCAGATCATTCATTGGACAGTGCTCTGAGAACCAGTTTTTGCAACGTCCCGAGCGAAGGCAGAACGCGCCTACAGAAGCGATATTCCATATTTCGGGGGTGCGAAGTGAAGCAGGATTCTCGATACTGCAACGATCTATTATTCTCAAGCGATGGTCTTTAATAAAAATTTAAGAATACCAATCACTCAACTATCCTGGCACACAAGTCAAGCTGTGCAAAAAAGCAGGATTGGAAATAGCCAAGCGGTTATAATTGTAAATGTATTTATATAAAATACTAAACGCTCGACACCAATGCGAAATAATAGCAATAAAAAAAAATACGAACTCAAAAGCGAAATTTTAGTATACACTGACCGAATTCCACTTCGATAATCAGATTTAGTATAATTTTGACGAAAATTGTAATCGAAACAATGTATAAATTTAATCTCCACGGCGAATGAGAACGACCCAAATTTGAGTTTAGTTCACTCATAATCGCCAACAGTGCAGGAACTCAGCGATGAGTAAATTTTCTCATGGTTTTTCTGTGGAAAACCTAAAAAATCAGCCGGAAAATGAGGAAATTGACAGTCTTGGAGTGGTACCAATAGACTGAGTGAATCCAATCTTTACTTTTCTCAAATTCGGGAATTTTTTTCTGGAAAATCCTGGAAAAACATGAGGCAAATTTACTCATCGCTGAGTTCCTGCACTTTTGGCGATTATAAGTGAACTAAACTCAAATTTGGGGTGTTCTCATTCGCCGTGTCTATTCGTTTTGTAATATTTTTGAGTGTTGTGTGTACTAAGCACATTCTGAACATATAAAACCAATGAGCTGGATTACCGAGGTGAAGCAATCACTCACACAACCACTGTACGATACACGCAAGTACACGCAAGTAGTGACGTCACTACTTGCGTTTGCGTTGATTTTTTGGTTTACTAATACAACCCTATTTCACGATCTGCGCCACCTCTCTCTGTAGCTCATTGATATAAAACCCACCTGGGCAGAAAATGTTCCACAAAATGTCAGTAAAAATACAAACGTAAACAAAACGATAAAAACTGCAAGCGCCGAGAGATTCTGATATCAAATTATTTTATTGCACATTTGCATTTTAAATTAATGCAAAAAGCTTTGTAAAATTTGGCTTATCATGATAAGATAACAAAAGTTTTGTAGTTCATTAATTTGTTTAAACCTTCCCCATCAACATGTTCCGAAAATTGTTTCCAGGTAAGAATCTATAAATATTACGTATCAATTCATAGTGAGTTCAAACTTCGAATGGTGAATACCTTCCAGTAAAATCCTGCAACCCCCTCATCCGCCAGTTCAGTGTCTGCGAGCTCCCCAAGGAACTACGGCAAATTCAACAGACATGCCGAAACTTCGCAGAACGTGAGCTCAAACCGGTAGCTGCCGAACTGGACCGGGATGAACGATTTCCTGCTGAACAGATAGCCAAGCTCGCCGATCTCGGATTGATGCGTGTAACGGTGTCCCCCAAGTATGGTGGCTCCAATCTTAACATGCAGGCACTGTCACTGATCGTTGAAGAGCTGTCCAGAGGATGTGCAAGCACCGGTGCCATCGTATCGATTCACAACTGTCTGTATGCCAATTTACTGAACAGACTTGGGACTGAGGAGCAGAAGGACAAGTTTTTCACAAAGTATTCAAGTGACACTGTTGGGGTGTTTGCACTTAGTGAGGCAGACGCTGGATCGGATGTGGTGGCGTTGAGTTCGAAAGCTAACCGAGATGGCTGCTGGTGGGTTTTGAATGGAGCGAAAGCTTGGGTGACGTCGGCTAGGGAAGCTAAAAGTGGAATCGTTTTTGCCACTGTTGATTCTGAGTTAAAACATAAAGGAATTACTGCCTTTTTGGTAGACTTTGAAGATGCCGAAGGGTTGACGGTAGGACGAAATGAAGACAAGCTTGGGATTCGAGCCAGTTCAACCTGTAGCTTGCTGTTTGAAAATGTGCGCATCCCGGATTCGAATGTTCTTGGTCAGGTGGGTGGAGGGTTCAAGATAGCCATGGAGCAGTTGGATCGGGCTCGCATAGGCATCGCTTCGCAAGCTTTGGGAATAGCTCAAGCCGCACTGGAAACTGCCACCGAATATGCAGGCCAGCGAATTGCATTCGGCCAACCGCTGCTCAAATTGCACCCGGTTCAGACGAGAATCGCCGAAATGGCCGTTAGAATCGAAACTGCTAGGTTATTGATTCGTAGGGCAGCCGGCGAGGTGGATCAAGGCCAGAAGGCAACGAAGGTCATCTCGATGGCCAAGTGGGTGGCCGGAGAGACGGCAACATTTGCAGCACACAACTGCCAGCAGATAATGGGTGGCATGGGGTACGTGAAAGATATGCCCGCCGAGCGGTACTACAGGGATGCAAGGATCACGGAGATTTACGGTGGGGCAACGGATGTGCAGAAGGCAATCGTGGCGGATCATGTGATAAAAGAGTTGGGCAAGTAAATGGATGAAATGGTCCGGGGATAGCGCAAGGTAAGATGTTGTCTTTATTTTTCTCAAGGTTCAGGGATTTATAACGTATAAGAATTTTTTGGTATCTTTTGAAGATATTATGGGAAACTGAAATGTTACATATATACGCACATAGAATGTGAAATTTACATGAAATTGCGGGTTCCCTTCGTAAGAAAAGAAAGCCCTACTTTATCGACATAAAATATGAAACTTATCGTTTTTAATCTGGACACAGCAACATTTGCAGGTGCTCAAGTATAGATGCTTCGTGTGTGGTGTCGTAGATAGGGTTGTTGTCATAGATAGTTGGCAGAAAGTCAAAGTAGATGTGTTTTCTATGCCTTTAAAGCGCTTGTTTTCACCTATCCCATATTGTCTAGTGGTTAGGATATCCGGCTCTCACCCGGAAGGCCCGGGTTCGATTCCCGGTATGGGAAATCCTTTTTTTTCTACTTGGCAAAATGATCTTCAATCTCGATCAGTGGCATCCCACCGAATTGCTAATGATCGACAATTTGCCTACATATGATGTTCCGGAATTTGATGCATAAATGTTGGATTTTAGCTGATTGTATTTATTGTTTTGGAGACGTATGACGGAAATGAATGTCGAATGAATGCAGTGCATTTCTTTTTGAGATAAGATGAATGAAAGACACAATTGTAAGCCATTAAGAAAACTGTATTTTGTTGTTGTTGTTTTAAGCAAATGCACGTACGGGCTTAGATATATTATTTTAAAATACAATTGTTGAAAACACGATTATCGCCTAGTACTTATATAATGCCCTAACGGCACGGCATTCTGTGTATGGTTTGTTTATCCACAATCGATCTAGTCATTTTGTCTTTCGGATACGGGGTAAATGCTAATCAACCGTCGCGTTTGCCTACTTGGAACTTGCCTCTTGCTGTTCAAACTTGGGATACTTGGCCTCCACATCCACCCAGTTCATCCGACCGGTAGCCATATCGCGGATCACTGCGGCCACCTCATCCAGCTACACAAAAACAAGATTATTAGATTCGTACTTTTCAGTATTCTTTAGATTAATTGTAACTCACCCCAATCCGAACTTGCTTCATAGAGTCGCGCTCGCGTAGCGTTACGCTATGCGGTTCCTTCAAGGTGTCGAAGTCGATCGTAATGCCATAGGGAATGGCAATCTCGTCCGTGCGGGCATAGCGACGTCCGATGGAGCCGCTCGAGTCGTCAACCTTGTGGGAAACGTCCACACTGGTCAAAGCGGAAGCTGTAAATTAGTTTGACTTAGTCTACTGAAACTTGTAGTCATCAACCCATTCACTTACAAATCTTCCTAACGAAGGGCACAAATTCGGCATTGTTGCTTAGGGGTAGCACGGAGCACTTGAGTGGAGCCACGACCGGTGGCAGCGAGAAGTAACCACGCTGGTCGTCTCCATCGCGCATCTGGAAGCTGTGCTCTAGCAGAGAGTACATGATGCGTCCCACTCCAAATGAAGGTTCGATCACACTGGGAGTAATTTCCTCGACGTGGATCGTTTTGGAGGTCGTCTTTACGGTAATCATATCACTTTTCAGAGCTACTTCAGACCCGTTGACATCCAAAACGTGCTCTCCCTTGTCCGAAAGGTTCTTTCCAATGGTTTCCACTTCCGAGAGGCTCAGCTTGGCCAGTAGTTCGGTGATGTTCTTGGCTTCCTTTTTGAAAACCTTACCCAAGGCGGCTTTGTTCGGCACCACTTCGGTAACTTCGATGGTCTTCGGAGCCGGGAGCTTCTTCTCCGCTACCAACTTCACTCCAGTGGCATTGGTATGTTGCGTAAGATCGTAAGCCGATCGATCCGCACAGCCAACGCATTCGATCCAACCGTAGCTGGTCAAACATTCGGCATCCCAACAGTCGCAAGCATAATGAGCCATTTCGTTGCCCATATGCTGGCGGAATCGTAATCGCTCCGGAAGAATTCCAATCTTCAGCATGAACTGCTGGATTCGAGCCATGAAATAACCAAGCGTTTCATTTGCGACCAGTCCACTTCCAACGGCTTCTCCAATCTTGATTTGCTGGGCACTCTTACCATCCATCTGGTTGCAAGCAGAGTACAGTGTCATGACGACATCCTTGATGTTCTCGAACTTGGGATGGTCCTTCAACTGAGGATCGCAGAAGTGCTCAATCTCGCACATGGTAAATTCACGAACACGGATCAGACCCGATCGTGGTGAGATCTCGTTACGGAAAGAGTTTCCAATCTGAGCTGCTGCAAACGGGAGTTTTCCTTGGTTGAACTCCAGCAAACGTTTGAAGTTGACAAAAATGCCCTGAGCCGTCTCCGGACGAAGGAATCCCTTTACCAATCCAGTCGGCCCAATTTGAGTTCCAAACATCAGATTGAACTCGATCGGTTCCGTGAGATCATTTCCCGTGATGGGACTTTTCATGTTGAACTTTTGCACGATTCCAGCCATCTCGTCCTTGGTCATTCCGTCCAGCTTAATGACAATGTCCGTGCACTCATCCTTCAGAGCCTGACTAGCATCCTTGGCAGCGGCAAGCTTCTCTAAATGGTTCTTAATCAAGTGATCCAAACGGAAGCATTCGCCATTCTTCACATCCTTAACCATCAAATCCGCGAATCGGTCGACGTGTCCTGAAGCCTTAAGAACCGGCTCCGGCGTCAGAATAGAACAATCCACCTCCAGCATCTGTTCTTCCAGTACGAAGAACTGCCTCCAGACGTTGATCATGTTCGATTTCAATGCGCAACCCATTGGCCCAAAATCGTACTGACCGGTGATTCCTCCATAGATGGCGAAACTTTGATCGTAGAAAAACCTCCGCTTCAACAGATCTTCCATGCGAGCCCTATCGAATGTCGCCAACGAAGGAGCCAAGCTAAGCTCCTTGTCTTCCAGAATCTTCTTACGGGCCTTCAGCTCATTCACAGCCTTTTTGACATCAATCTCCGGAGCCCCATCGGCCTTCAGCTTACGAACCAAATCACCCTGAAATCCACTCAAAATTAGCACCCACCTTCCCATTCAGAAATCATCCCTAACTCACCAGTTCCTTGACAGACTGCCGCAACGGGGCCAACACCTCCTCAATCTTCGGATCAGAGGCCATATTTTCCAGCAACTGAAGTTTTAGCTTAAAATCCCGATGCTTCTTGTTGGAACCCCACACAAATGGCTTTGGAACCGCTTGTTGACTAAACGCCCTTGCACTTTTTTGAAGATGATGAAATTTTCCTGATGTCGCCGGGCTGAAGAAAAACGATGAGGACTTTAGCTTCAAACCACCACCACCGGTTCGGAAAAGTGCTATTCTACTAAAGCAAACTAAAAGCGATTGGTGCATCTAAAATGCCTGGGAACGAGTGCACTAACAGCGGTCTCTTCACTGGTTTTCCAGGGCAGATTTTCACGTCAGCACATTCACTTTCTAATCGCGAAAGGGCACACAAAAATCGCAGTTCGTCACCAGGAGAAGTGGAACGTGTTTTCCGACGAACGAGAAAGAACCCGACTGTGACGTTTCTCTTTTGATGTTTACTTCGTGGTAGAGAAGCTTTGGCGGAGGAAAAAGACTATGACCAAACGCAATCTGTGTGGGGTTGTGAAATTTGACGGGTAGGTGGCACCCCGGTGGGAAGTGTTCAGAAAGCACCGGGAAAAATTGATGAATCTACGCGAAACTGCACCAGTGGATGCGACACCTAGGTTTCAAATCCAAAACCACAAAAGTGATGATGTACTAAAAAATATTCCATTGGCGTCTTGCAGTGAAACTTTTCCAAGCTTTCGCCTCCTACATTTCGAAGTGAGAACTACTAGAAGGAGGATAGTTTCCAAATTCTCCAAGTAATCAGACGATTTTTGGGGCAAATCGGCCCATAAAGAAAAACTAATAATTTCCCGTGGAAACTTTTGCTTGAATCGTGTAAGAAAACGTGTTTGAAAACTAATTGTTATTATTTCGGTATGGATTGCATGGAAAATTATGCATAACAAGTTTGCACCCACAGCGAGAGGTTACCTCCTGCGCAGCTGCATTTTTCGGAAAATGGTGAATTTGTGTGATTTCCACTAAGATGAAAGTGGAAATAAAGTTAATTTACTTAGGAAAGGTTGTAGGGGAATTTCCGTATTCTCGTCAATCTAAGCAGCGTCTGCACTTCTACTAGCATTTTCTCAGCGTCACGCACATATATGATGTGTCTGTTTGTTTACATTCATCTGCTGCTTGCTTCTCTATCCATTCCAATCGATAGAATTTTTCAAAACGTTTTGAAAGCGTTTTTACAACGCTCCAAACTTCTCAGGTGAGTGTGACTATTGTCGGCAGCCTCTTTTTCTTCGGCAACCTTCCCATTAGAACTGCGTGTTAACCAGCTGTTCTATTATCGGCAACTCGAAATCAACCCTATTTTGTAGTGCGTATGCTTTATTTGAAGAAAAATGTAGCATTACTGGATTGCTCGATCGTTCAAATATAATCAGATTGAAGCTGAAAGGCTAAACAATCGTTTGGACACATTCAGGGAAGTGCGTTGACAGGAAAACATAGTGAAATTAACGTTTAAATTTTGGTTGCCGAAAACAGTCAATGGGTGCCGAAGCCAACATTTACCCTATCATGCTGGTGGTAATGGAGAATTGGTTGTATAGGACGCCAATATTCAATAAATGTTCATTTTGGCCTTTTCTAAGCAAACATATTGATACTCACAATTTTCGACGGAAAATGCAACGGAACTTGATTTACTCAACACGCACCATACTATAAAATGGTGCTAGATGGTCTTCAAAGTGATAACAAGATGACAAATCATATTTATTTTGAGTAATTGAGCAATTTACTTCTGTTTACCATCATATATACGATGCAGCATTGATGGAGCCGTGAAATGAAATGAATATATCTTATGAAAGTTCACCTGGAAAAGTCAAAGATGCACATTAGTCTGATCGTAAAAACGTTTTCTTCTTCAATTCGAATGTTATATTGGAAGGATTTCACGCAGGCTTGATGAAAATTATGATTTAATGCTAATTTTCAAGAATTTTATATGCAGTCTGTCAACATTATCATCATCATGCAGTGGCGACATCTGCGTTGAGCTTTTGCGGCAATCTTCCAATACGATTTGACAGGTAGCAAAACGTCATTTTCATTTTATCATCATTTCCATCTGCTGGACGACCGTAACGTAAATTGATCAATTGTGTTGGAATTTTCTGGCGATGAATGGATTAAGGTGAATCGCTAAACACATTACTGCTGGAAACCAAAAAAATCTGGCCGAGCTGGAAGTTCAGCAATCCTACATGCAAAATATTGTTCCTGGATGACCAGCAATTTGGTCCGACGTCAACGTCACCGTTAATATAACTGAAAAATCAGCAATCTTTACTGAATGTTCAGCATAGTTGAGCAACAACCTTTATGCAGGAATTTCAGCTAGTTTTATTTACCTATTGTGTTTTCATAGTAGCTACAAAAAATAGATTACTAAATTGTATACACTATTGATGAATTTACGTTACGGTCGACCAGCAGATGGAAATGATGAGAAAATGATAATGACGTTTTGCTACCTACCACTTTTGTGGTTTTGGATTTGAAACCTAGGTGTCGCATGCACTGGTTTTTTTTTTTTTTTTTTTTCCTTTATTTTAGAGATTTTTAGCCTGAGGCTAGTTCATCTCTTAGACGCATGCACTGGTGCAGTTTCGCGTAGATTCATCAATTAATGCTATCAAAATTATTACACTTTTATTAAAGAATCAAAGTGACGATTGACTTACAGGTGGCGAGTGGGTGAAAATGGTAATGACGTTTTAATATTTGTCAAATTGTATGATTTTTTTTATTACATCATCATTTTTGTAATTGCGGATCTAAAAACTAGGTGAGTTCACTGTGACTGGTAGTACGCTCAACAGATGACGGTAGTGTGTAAACGTCAAACGCAAAGGAAATGACTATGATGAACAACTTGCGAGAGTTATGTCTGTTTGTCTGTGAACCATCTAGTGCGCACGCTAGTGCTTCTCGCCAAAGGATATCACTAATGCAACCTCGGATATAACCTTGCTAAGTGTAGCCGTGTAAAATCGATGAATTATTATTGCATGTTGTCAGTTTTTATCTTTGATCAATTAAAAGTTTCGACTTTTGCAATGAAATTGTAGAACCACAGACAACGTGCATGTTTTTCATCGAACACGCATTTAATGGTCAATTTAAATTTGTCTTAGTTGGTAGTACCATAGAGGTAACTCTAAGACCAGTAGGTCCCGAAGAAACGAGCTCAACTTTTTGGCTCAGCTCTGGTACTATCTTCGGTCCAAAGCTAATCGATTCACCCCCTTGAAACATAGGAAAATCCACTAACCCCTCATTTTATTTGTCAAACTTTCATAGAGAATCAAAACAAACATTGTGTAGTACTAGAATTTTGATTGTTGATTTTTGTCTACGAAAATCAAGCGTGATCTTGGGCGTTGTTGAGATTTGATTTTATGATATTTTCCCAACACTGCTCACGTTATTCTAAAACTAACCAGAAATGAGTAGAAACCTACTCCCGAAGAAGTAATTTTGACAGTAAAATAATTTTTGGATCAAAAACTTGCGCTTTTACAACTACAAATTTTGGTGTGTACCTAAAGCAGTAAAATTGCATGTACCATTTCATTACATATTGCATTTTTTATTGTTTCAAGCATATTAGGTCACATGTAATTTTCTTTATTTTTTAGTGTGAAAGTAAGTGAGTAACGAATAAATAAGTAAGTAAGAAAGTAAGTAAGTAAGTAAGTAAGTAAGTAAGTAAGTAAGTAAGAAAGTAAGAAAGTAAGTAAGTATGTAAGTAAGTGAATGAGTAACTGAGAAAGTAAGTTAGTAAGCAAGATAGTAAGCTGGGTGCCTTCTATTCATTTTGGTTAAAAAAAATGTTTTAAGAAATTATGGAATAATAAGATATTATGATAATATTTTGTTTGTGTAAGCAACAAGAAAATGTTGTGAAGTTTGTGTTTGACACATAATACCTGCCAATTTTGCTACATGAGAGTCGCATTAAGCGATTGTGTCATTTATCTCACCCAGTCTTCGCTCTTCACTCTTCGCGTAAAGGCGACCAGAAAGTCGCTCATTGTGGCTCTGTCAAAGCTAAATTAACAGGTTTTATATGTCAAATCTTTTCTTGTTACTTACACATACCAAATATCATCATAACATCTTATTGTTTTTTAATTTCATACAAAATTTTTTTTAGCCAAAATGAATGGAAGGAACCCTGATAGTAAGTAAGATGCTGTTCATAAACTACGTAGACAGCTTACAAACTGTTCATAAAGTTTGTATGAACAACTATCTACGCAAGGGGAGGGGCTATAAAATCACTTTTATATGAGTTTCGTCAGTACCCTTAAATAAGAAAGTAAGCAAGTGAGTAAGTAATTAAGTAACAAATAATTCTAGCTGCACAATAGGCAAAAACTATCTGCATGAGCCATTTTTACCTGCAAAATCTGGTCTACAGCTAACATTGTTAGTTAGCTAAGTTAGTAAGTAAGTTAGCATTTAAAAAATTAAATTAGTAGAAAAGTTATTATGTAAATATTTAAAAAGTTGATACATAAATAGTAAAGAAATAAATATAGAAACTAATCAATTGCGTAATTAAGAAATTAAGTGATGTTATTAAAAAAATATTAAATTAATAACCTAAGAAACTAAGAATATCATTAATGTTAATAATTATGACATTAAGAAAGAAATAATGAATGAATATAAAAATAAATTGATGATTAGAGGTACTATTTATAAATATCAGGGTTGAAGGGGCGATCCATTAAGAATGTCACGTTCTAAGTGGGAGGGGTACAGAAATTTGTGACAAGCCATCTACAAAGTATAGGAAAAACATGACGACGTTGATTGTTCCAGAATTTCGCGTGATGTACTAAATGGATGCTGCCTTAGAAGAAATATTTCTGCAATGAATTACCAGCATGGTTGATTTTTAGAACAGATGTCGCTAGTTAAAAAAGTTAGGGTTATTGATGTTGTAAACCAAAAACCGAAACATGTTGATTTTAACGAATAAGGACCATTACCCAAAATATTGGGTAAGGTGATGGGCAAATTTTTTGCGGAACATCTATCGATATTTTTGAAAAAAATTTCAAATCTACATACGTTACTTTTCCGGTTAAAGCAGAGGTAGAAAGCTCTAGAAAAGTGGCGCCAGTGGTTGTGACCTTAATGATGACAACATACAGTGATTCATTAAATATTTTTAAAATTCCAGGCTTAGAATAAAAGATTGAAGATTTCATGCTTATTGGTCTGAAAGTAAAATCAGTATTAGAGCTGCACTGAATATTTGGCTGAATACCAAGCTTTCAGCTATCAAAATTCCGCTCAAATGTTTTGTCGGCTACTGGTTTGGAAAGTAAAGGCTGAATAGCAGCACCAAATATCACGTAAACACCG